AAGCCTCCTTAACAAAGGCCTGTGCATAACAGTTTTTCTCAGTGATTTGATCAAGCAGGACTTTACATGGTCCTCATATACAAGCAGTAGATTCAAAATACTGTTGAATATGCTATTTACTATCCTGTGAATTTCGTGTTCACCTTTCGAGTAGTTAGGACGTCATCGAAACTCTGATGAGGGTACATTTGAGTGGTCGCCCTCTTGCTCCATTTGCAAGATTATCAAGTAAGAGTTCAACCGAACCTTATAGCATGAAATGCACGCGCTGAAAATGAATGGACGCTTCACTTCACCAGGGGGAGTCCTAGAGTGGACAGTTCACTAGCACTAGATTAGTACTGTCTTGAATTCTTCTGTTCAACCTCTTGTTGGCTTTTCGAGGAGGTTTTCGAGTAGGATATTTCAAAACCTTGCTGGCTTTTTGAACAGGCTACTTTGGATTTTAATGATCCAGTTTTCAATCGAGTAGCTAAGACGTTAATGAGATTCGAGCAGGGTTTACTGCAAGAATCACAGGTGGGCAATGCAATATTAAGAGCTTAAATTGCAGGATCAGAAAAACTAAGCACCCGCTATCGCAAAGTAAGGGTGTTCATGAGATATAAACTTTCTTAAACAGCAGGTACTAGGATCCCAGAATGGTTCTTCTTGATAAAAAGATTTTTCAGCTTCTTTCAAATGCACAAAATTGTATATATTAGCAAATACGCGCCTTCTCTGTCAAAGCCTCCTTAGCAGAGGCCTGCGCATAATCCATGTACGTGCTTTTCTCAGTGATTTGAATAGGCAAGACTTTACATGGTGCGCGTACACAGAAACAGCATATTCAATGTCTTATTGAACGCAATTGAAATTCTGATAAGGGTACATTTGAATGGTCGCCCTCCTTTCAGTCAACAAAATACGAATGCGAAAAATCATCCAAATCCAGAAGTCCAGAAGTCCAAAAAACCCAAACTTTCCGGAGACATTGCCCGAGCAAGTTTGGAGTTTTGGATTGTTGGATCTTTGGGTTTTTGGGTTTTGGATTTTCTATGATTTTCTATGCACAAGACAAGCATGGAAAAGAACACAGTGTATGAAAAGAATGCCTGCAAAAGTGCCAAAAGCCAAAAAAGTGCAAAAGTGCAAAAACAACAACAAAAGTGCAAAAGTGCAAAACTGCCAAAAAAACAAGTGCAAAAGTGCAAAAAATGCAAGAACAGTGCCAAAAATGCACAAAAACACAAAAACAAGCAAGAATGCGAAAAATCATCAACATCCAAAAATCCAAAAACCCAAACTTTTCCGGATACATTGTCCGAGCAAGTTTGGATTTTTGGATTTTTGGATTTTCTATGCATCAGACAAGCATAGAAAAGAGCACAGTATATGAGAACAATGCAAAAGTGCAAAAAGCCAAAACAGTGCAAAAGTGCAAAAAGCAAAAAAAGTGCAGAAGTGAAAAAAAAGCAAAGCAAGTGCGAAAGTGCAAAAACACCAGAAAGTGCAACAAATGCACACAAACACAAAAAGCGCAAGATGTAAAGCAAAACGCGCAAAAAACACAAAGCACGACAAAAATAACTAGTTTTCCTGTCCTTTTCATTTCGCGGTTGGTCCATTGGGGGGGGGGGGGGGGTGTGAGCATATATATATATACACATACATGCGCGTACATGTATGTATGTATTTGAGCATTTGGGCAAGAAAAGGCCAGAGAAAGAGATAGATAGGGAGAGAGAGAGAGAGAGAGCGAGCGAGCGAGAGAGAGAGAGAGAGAGAGAGAGAGAGATGCATGCATACATGCATATATGCGCATACATATTGATCGATATGCATGTGTAGGTGCATATATGTATATACACACATGTATGTATGTATGTATGTATGTATGTATGTATGTATGTATGTATGTATGTATGTATGTATGTATGTATATTTCTATATTTATATGTATACAGATACATAATTCGCGTGTTACGCACCATTCCTAACTCGACCCTAAGCCCTGAACCTAAGCCCTGGAGAGCGCCACACGGGGCATTGTCTCACCTTTTTTTCTTGCTTGCAATTTTAAATAAAGCCTAAGGGCGGGACGTTGCTTTAGCGCCTTAGGGGCCTCATGAAGCATGACGGTGTGGGGGCTAAGGGATTTATGGGGGACGTTTAAGGAGCAGTTGCGACACCGCACCCCTGAATACCAAAGACTAGACCCTAACCCCTAAACCCCAAACCCTAAACCATAAACTAGAGACCGCTCCCCAGAGTCGACACCCCCAGCCTTTACCGACGCAGGGGGTTGAGTGAGACAACTATGACAAGTATCTGGTTTTAGAGAGCTGCTTGCATGAAAACCACTCCGAACAAGAGATTTAGTCACTTAGAATGGATCAACTCCACACGTCGTGCGAGGGTTTCGGCAAAAAAGGGTGTTTGAACAAATCCCGAAACCTGCTGAGCGAGCGCGGCAGGTCAAAGTCAGCGCATGTGCTGCTACTTCATCTGGGTTTCCCTAAACCCTAAAAACCCTAAACCCTAAATCCTACACCCTAAACCCTAAACCCGTAAACCCTGACCCATATACGTTAATACTTTTTGTGGTTCTGGGTTCCTATTATAGCTACTTATACCTAAAAAGTATGTACATGTTTCCAGGATTTTCTCCAAAGTAGGGTCATTTCCTTGATTCTTCACAGCTCCACGTGCTTCCCCTCATTTTGTTCTTGCTTGCTGCGCGCCGAGCTAATTCTCTTCTGGCTGTGAAGGTCGGACTTCTCAGTCGTCTTGCGTGAAGAAAAAGTTTGTGAGTGGGGAGGGGGTTTAGGGTTTACGGTTTAGGGTTATCGGTTCATTATATAGTTGTTTCAGGAGTTGAGAATGCGCTGGCCTAAGGAAAGTTTGGGAGTGGGTGGAGGTATCGTTTCTTGATAGTAGTCGTTTCAAGAAATTCTACTCAGTTGTGCTCGTCCATTCGTGGGCGCAGCCTGCGTGTGTTGCAGTTTGCCCGTGGGGGGAGGGCAACACGGGTTGTTGCTTGCGGCAGTGGCCCCACGCTGGGAGTAGTGAACGTGGCAGGTGTTTAGGGTTTAGGGTTTAGGGTTTCGGGTTTAGGGTTTAGGGTTTAGGGTTTAGGGACCAGTTCAGCAGTCCAGCACTGGTGCATCTCCTGGTGCGAAACCTAGGCATAGGGACATAGTTTCAAACGAGCGAGGCATGGGCAACAGCCTTGGGTCTTTGGGTCCTAAACCCAAACCTAAACCCTAAACCCTAAACCCTAAACCCTAAACCCTAAACCCTAAACCCTAAACCCTAAACCCTAAACCCTAAACCCTAAACCCTAAACCTTCACCTCTAAGGGTATAGCGCCCTTTGGCATGGTCTGAGCTTACTAAGTAGTTCTGAATCGAGAATCAAACAGCATTGAGGATTTCAGGAACCGAATTCATTCTCCATAGGTATATCAGGGTTTAGGCGGTTTAGGCTTTAGGGTTCAGGGCTTAGGGTTTAGGGTTGAGTGCAGGTCCTTGTTGGCACATCTCATATTTTCCTTCATTGGGTGTAAGAGGATCATATTCAGGAATAATATTTGTTCAGAGGGTTTTAAGGGCCATCCTAGCTACAGATCCCAGAGAGCCGAAGGGCCCAGTAGGCTTCAGGTATTTTGCTGTGCCAGGTTGTGTATGCTTTGTACTTCAGCATGCCATCGCCAACTGCACTCTCCCCAGATGTCCATGCATATGAAGTAGGGTTTACATTTCTTGTACTCCCAAAAGGACACCCAATATATACACTCACCAATATAAAAAAGGAACCTTATATACACTCACCAAAAATAGTAATATAAACCCTACTTCATATAGGCTTGGGCCCTAAAGCTCTGTAGGAATCCCTTTAAGAGCCGAGTGTTTACTGTACAGGTACACCCTTCAGGCCCAAAAAACCCCTAAACCCCAAACGCTAAACCCTAAACCCTAAACCCTAAACCCTAAACCCCAAACCCCAAACGCTAAGTGTAGGTCCTTAGGCCTGGCACCACAGGACCCAGCCGGGCGTGCATCGCAGCAGGCGCAAGAATGCTCTGTGGCTGACTCTGCGGCTTAGGGCCTAGCTTTGAGGGAGGAGGCGAGTTCAGTTGCTTGTGCCCTAAACCCTAAACCCTAAACCCTAAACCCTAAACTCGAAACCCTAAACCCAATAAAGCCGAATCCCAAGACCCTAATTTGGCTTGCCATGAAGGAATCCGCAGTTTTGAAGACTGCCCTGACATCTTGAATCAATCATCCTGGCAGGGTTTATGGGTTTGTGGGGTTTGTGGGGTTGTGGGGTTATGGGTTTATGTAATGCGTTACTGGGTTGATGGGTGTATGCGTTTATGGGTTTCTGGGTCGGTGCATGCGTTTATGGGTTTCTGGGTCTATGCGTTTATGAGTTTATGGGTGTATGGGTTTAGGGTTAAGGTGGCCCGTGTGCAAGTCCAGACTAAGCAGACAACCGGTCGGTTTCCGGCGCGAAGCCCCCAACACCTAAAACCCAAAACCCCACAAAATCACCAATCCTCATCTCAATAGGCCTTGGGACAAACCGGTGTGCATGATCCCTTCCATTGTGCAAGAGCGTTGTGTTTTTTTTTAAAACATTCTCCAAGGATTTTTATATCGTCCATTCGAGTAAGCTGCCTTGAGGACGATAGGATTGTAAGTGCCACAAGCTTAACCTTGTAAGCCCCAAACCCTAAACCCTAAACCCTAAACCCTAAACCCTAAACCCTAAACCCTTGATTCGGCACGAGTTCAGAAACCCAAATCCCGAAAAGCCTAAACATCCCTGACCTACATAAAATCGAGACCCCAAACCCTAAACCCTGAAAGTTCAGTTGGTGCCCTAAACCCTAGGCCCTAAACCCTGAACCCTAAACCCTAAACCCTAAGACCCTAAGAACCTAAAGCCCGCAGCCGCCAGCAAAGCCGTTTGGGCTCAGAACACTGGTGCCGGGGCGAGCCGGTCGTACCAGGCCCATGACCGCCCTCTTCAGGCCGCTTGAAGGTTTTAGGGTTTAGGGGTTAGGGTTTAGGGTTTAGGGGTTTAGGGGTTTAGGGTTTAGGGGTTTAGGGTGTAGGGTTTTAGGGTTTAGGGTTTAGGGTTTTAAGCCCAAAGCCCCAAACCCCTAAACCGTACTTGGGTGCTCTACCTGCAGCCGAGAGGTCTCTGTAGGGAAACTGTGCATCGAGCCTTGTGTCAATCCTGCTGCCGGTCCAAGCCACGATGTTTTTTTGGGTTCAGGGCGTAGGGCCCCTACACCCTAAGCTCTAAACCCTAAACCCTAAACCCTAAGCCTAAACCCCAAACCCGAAACCCCACACAACAAACCCCAAACCCCAAACCCCAAACCCTAAACCTTAAACCCTAAACCCTAAACCCTAAACCCCAAACCCTAAACCCTAAACCCTAAACCCTCAACCAAACCCCGAAACCGCTTTGAAACCCTAGACCTTTCCCCCGCCCGTCGGCTGCCAGATTGGCCGCCCTATGGGCCTTCGTGGTCACCTGGTGTGCTGCCGAGGAAGGCGAACGCTTTAGCGTTTAGGGTTGGGAGGGGGTTGGGTACAGGCGTTTGTGTGATGGAGTAGAGAGGCTCCCCCCGTTCTCATGTCCCAGTCGGTGTGAGAGGGGCTTCATGTTCCCTCAACCCACCAGGACCCAGAGTAGGCCCTTCTTCCCCAAACCCTAAACCCTAGACCCTGAACCCTTTTTTTGGGCTTCAGTCCCCTCGTAAAGCCCTGTAAAACAAACAGGGCTCCCTTTCTCATTCCTAGCTTACTCTTGGGCCTGGCCTGTCAGTGCCCTTAACACCGAACTCAAGCACATTCCCTAACGGTCCATGTACCTCATTATCATATACTTGGGCCCCAAAGTCCCTATATAGGAAGTACTTGAAGGCCCCAAGTATAGCTATTGAGGTGCATGGGCCCTTTAGGACATGTATACACGACCTTGCGTATTGCGCATTGAACGCGTGTTGCCGTGGGCTGCAGCCCTGGGTCCAGGTGAAGATGTCAAGGGACCAATGATCACGAACAAGGCAAGCGCGGAGTATAAGGTTGGTGGTCTCGTTCCCCCCTTATACGAACAGCTCCTTAATAGGGATTAAAGTAGGGGGGGTACCCCCTACTTCCTAAACCCTAAGCCCTAAACCCTATTAAGGAGCTGTTAGCATCAGCGGGAAACGCTCCAAGTTGGAGGTAGAGGATTCAGGCCAACCCTTGGACAGCTCTTAGACCAGTGACCAGGATGCCCAGTAGTACCCTTATTTCCTTTTTTCGGGGAGGGGTGGGGGCGGGGGGGGGGGGGGTGTTGGGGTTAAAAATAAGCCCCTTTAAGCAAACAGGGCAGGCACCCTTTTGAATCCCAGGGTACTGGGCAGCCTAGTAGAGGTTTAGGGTTTATAGGCTGGAGGGCGCGCAAGGTCTATTTCGATGTGTCGATCGGCGGCAAGCAGACTGGCCGCATTGTCATTGGCCTGTATGGCAAGAAGGCGGCGTGCACAACCGATCCTAAAACCTGCCATCTTCCATAGGACCCCAAGAAAAGGCTAGTCTCTCATTTTTCATATATACATATATATGCTTTAGTCATGTCTTCATTTGTCGGATTATTATTATTATTATTATTAATATTATTGTTCTTATCTGTCTATTTTGTTTTGGGGGGGCATCCTTTGTCGAGGCCACTTCTACACCCCCTACACTCTGCACCCCTGAAGCCAGTCCTTATCAGGTTTCCCCTACGACCCCCCTCTATACTACCCCCCCCCCCCCTTCTAGGTTCCCCCCTGAATAGCCTTAATTAGGCTTAGTCACCCCTAAATAGCCTTGATTGTGGGGGCAGCCTAGGGGAAGTAGAAAAGAGGGGGGCAGTAGGGGAACCCAAACCCTACACCCTAAACCCTAAACCCTAAACCCTAAACCCTAAACCCTAAACCCTAAACCCTAAACCCTAAACCCTAAACCCTAAACCCCCTATGACCTTAGGGTAGGTGAGGCCTTCCATGCTGTGCAGGTGCCGAAAACTGTGGAGAACTTCCGCCGCGCCCTTGGCCATCTGCCAGAGGGTTTAGGGTTTAGGGTTTAGGGTTTAGGGTTTAGGGTTTAGGGTTTAGGGTTTAGGGTTTAGGGCTGCAATTGCTTGACCCTAAGGGTCCATGTACCTAGTACCTAAGTAAGGAATACATAGGGACTTTGGGGCCCAAGTATATAGTAATTGGGTACATGGACCCTCAGGGTGTGCCACTTTGGGGATGTAGGGTGTTGGGGTGTCAGGGGGTGTACCTTGGGATGTTGCCCTTGATACTAACAGCCCTTAGTAGGGATTGTATCCCTACTAAGGACTGTTAGTATAAGGGGCAACATCCCAAGGTGTACCCCAAACCCATCAGAGTTTAGGGTCTAGGGTTTATCAAACACAGCATACAGAAGAAATTGAGTAGGACCGGGAGTAGGCCCTTTTTTTCCTTTTTTTAGGGTTGGGGTTCCCTTATAATCCCCTTACAACCAAAAAGGGGCACCCTTTCTATTCCTAGGCTACTGCCGGGTCTAGGTAACTTATGATAGTCTTCGGCGCAGGAAGGGAGGCAGAGAGAGCAAGCACCGCCAAAGCACCCGAAACACGGATGTGCCCCCCCCCCACCCCCCTAAACCCCCGAACCTAAACCCTAAACCCTAAACCCTAAACCCTAAACCCTAAACCCTAAACCCTAAACTGGAAGATCCTAAACCCCTCCACCATGGCCAGGCGCCCTGTGCACGGGCGAGAAGGGCTTCGGCTACAAGGGCTCCAAGTTCCACCGGGTCATTAAGGACCCCCAGGGTTGTAGGGTTTAGGGTTTAGGGTTTAGGATCTTCCAGTTTAGGGTTTAGGGTTTAGGATATTTACCAATAGTATTCCCTTATGGCCCTTATACAATTGCACCATAATAACCCCTCACAGCCCTATTCCAGTTGCCAAGGCCCTATGTTAGGTAGGCTTCAGATGTTTTCTATTCTCCCTCTGCAGGGACAGCCGAGGTTCCTTTGGGCAGGTAGACTCAGGCTAAACCCTAAACCCCAAACCCTAAACCCTAAACCCTAAGCCCTTCAAGTAGGGTGTCTATTCTCACTCCCGCCCCCCTTTAGAGAGGACATTCTGGCTGAGGTGGCCTAGGTTTGGCTTCTTGCTCTTCACAGGGCTTCGAGAACCTTGCTCCTGCAGGTACGTACGAATGTTTAGGGTTTAGGGTTTAGGGTTTAGGGTTTAGGGTTTAGGGTTTAGGGTTTAGAACCTTTAATTGAGCATGTTGGTTATGTATTCTCCTAGTGCAAAGAAAAGGTTAACCGTTTCTTTGCTGGGGCATTCAGCCCCTGAGGTAAGCACGAATGATAGATCTACGTCAAGGCGTCTGAGCCGCGTTCAAAGTCCTTTGGCAGAGATGCCCTGCCTCTCTGCAACCTTGGCCTTTGAAGTACCCGGTGCCTCAACAGATATATATATATATATGAAGGATGCAAATTGTTAATCAAGATGCTAGTCAGAAAAAACAAGTAGCACTAAGAATAATAATGGTAGTAGTCATAATAGAAGAAGATGTAACACATAAAGACAGGATGAACAATCGTTAGCAATCAGCATCGAAAAAGCAAGCGTATTAACCACAACCGTAGCAAATAGAGTTACGGTAGTATTGTTCTTGCCCACTACAATGTGCTGAGCTTGCATGTTGCACCCGCTTTAGTACCGCTACCCGCGATTATGGGCTTTTTTCCGGAAAAACTATACGCAAAGGCTCCTATGTAGTGCCTTTTTGGGGCAGTATACTAGAATCCCCTATAACTAACCGAAAAAGGAACTAAATTGGAGCCTTTGGGTAGAGGGTGCCCCAATTGCCGCGTGTTTCCCGCAATTCTGCGAAGTTCGCCCGCCTGGGATCCTAATTTGGGGGAACAAAAGGCTTTGTCTTTTAAATACGGGGGTTTAGGGTTTAGGGTTTAGGGTTTAGGGTTTAGGGTTTAGGGTTTAGGGTTGAGGGCCTCAGAACCCATCCCGGTTTATAGAGCATGAGCAAAAGCCCCAAATTGATTTGGGGGGGGGAGGTGAGGGGAGGGTGGACCGCCAAGTTACCAAAAGCGAGTCTCACGTTAAGAATAATCGTGCTGGTATTTGCCATGTTGAGTTGCAGCCGGCTTCGCAACATCCTTTGAGGCACCTGGCATGTGCTGAAGCCGGTGTGCACTTTCGAGAGCTGTGCTGAAGCTGCTCCTATCAAGCCCACAATTTTGCGATCGTGCAGTGAGCCTTCCCGTTTTGAAAGCCATGGCGCTGTCCACCCCGCTCACCGAGCTCTTCAAGATCAAGCACCCCGTCATGCTGGCGGGCATGGCTGCTCAGCTGCATGCAGATACCGGTTTAGGGTTTAGGGCTTAGGGTTTTGGGTTTAGGGTTTAGGGCTTAGGGTTTAGGATTCCCTCACCTTGAGGCAGGACAGGTTCTTGAAAACTTAGGGTCCCCTTACATTCGTGGTGGTGTTAATACGGAAGGGTACCCTGATTGCAGTATGGTTTCGGGTTTAGGGTTTAGGGTTTAGGGTTTAGGGTTTAGGGTTTAGGGTTTAGGGTTTAGGCTGCCAAGGCTGCCAAGTATGAGATACGCTTTTTTTTGTGTTCGGCTTGACGTACAGTCGACACACGGTATGGCTTCGCAGAAGGACACAGGTGCTGGATGCCTTTTTTACAGCAGGCTCCCTTGTTACACCAGGCTTTGCAGCCCAGAGAGTGCAAGGCTCAAAACTGCTCAAGGACCGTTGAACGCCATCAAGGCTTTGTGACCACTTTTCTAGCCGAGAGGGTTGGGTGGGGCTGGGGGGGGGCTAAACCCTAAACCCTAAACCCTAAACCCTAAACCCTAAACCCTAAACCCTTAAGTGGCCTCCGTATAGTACCTTTACGTCCCACGTGTATACTCGAGAGGTGCAAGGACCTTGAGGGTGCGGCTTCAAAACCCTCAACCCTAAACCTTATAAAAACCTAAACCTTCTCAACCCTCCCTGAACCCCCAAGCCTCATAAATCCTAAACTCGGAACCCTTATAAAACGTGCGCCCTTAACCCCCCAAACCCTAAACCCTAAACCCTGAACCCAAAAACCTGTTTTTTTGAAGGCTTCGGGTGACAAGGCTTCCAAGCCCCCACAGGCCACCAGCATACTCTCGGGGTTGAGGGCTTAGGGTTTATAATAAATACTCGGTAGGCCCTTGGGATATTTTATAGTTTTCCTCTATTTTGTTTAAGAGGGCAATATTTAGGAATATTTTTCAGAGGGTGTTAAGGGCCATCCTAGAATAGGGTTTAGGGTTTATGGTTTGGGAACCTACAACCCCAGTTAGAGGGTAGAGCGGTCTACCTCGAAGGCCCGATTCTTCGGGGTTCATGCGTAGCCATACGGTATAAGCAAATTCGTTTATGCGCACTTTCCCTCCAAATACATGAAGACCAAAATCCGTCATACCATAAACCCTAGACCTTAGACCTTAGACCCCATACACCTTAAACCCTTTAGGGTCCCGGCGTTTATGGCAGGCATAAACTGCCCCATCAACCTCCAAGTTGACCCTCAACCCTAAGCCCTATTGAACCATACCACACTACTACACCGCAGTATCCCTAAACTCTACTAAACCCTACTAAGCCCTACTGAGCCCTAGTAAGCCTGTCCTGCTCAACCCCACTACGCCCGAAAGAACCCTAAACCCTAGCCTACTAAACCCTACTAAACCCCCCCTAAGCCCTAAGAACCCTAAACCCTATCCTATCCCTAATTTTCGGAAACCCTAAACCCTAAACCGTAAACCCTAAAGACCCAACATCCAAAGTTGCCCCGACATTTTCGAGGCTGGCGCGGCTGGACCGGAGCTGGCTGCTGCAGTTACCAATGCGGGAGGCGCCTCCGCAGTGTTTAGGGTTTAGGGTTTAGGGTTTCGTTTAGGGTTTAGGGTTTAGGGGCCTGCAGGGCTTTAGGGCCTAGGGTTTATAGGGCTTACTTAGGGTTATAGGGCTGACTACGAGGGTTTATCGGGCGTAGGTTTGAGGGTTTAGGGCTTTGGGGTTTTCGTTTGGGGTTAGGCTGAGAGCTCACGATGCAGACGGTAGCCGAAGAAGCTAGCAAGAACTGCGACTATAGTAGAGTGCGCACACCCACACACGCCCGTGCACACACACATGCACACGCGTGCGCTCGAGCTCGCGCTCACAACCCTTTCTCGATGATTGGTTTGCTCTTGCGACTTTTATGAGGTCTTGGCAACATCGGTGCAGCACTCAGGGCACAGTGTCGTTGCTTTGCCTGAGCGCATCTCAAAGTATGTACATGTATATATATATATATACACACACATATATTCTATATATATATATATACATATGTTGTATATATATATATATACATATTTATTTTTTCTTATTTTGATTGCCATATGTATAATACTTCATGAACTACAAGCTGGTGTTGACATGTACTGCTGCCCAGCTCCCAAGCTTCCTGCGGCGTCCACTCACCGCTCTCCGCCCTTTCGCCGCCGAGGCGGTGTCGGCTACACACCCGAGGCCCTGCGCAAGACCATTGGGATGCTGAAGAAGGAGCCCTCCAGAGCCCAAACCCTAGATTATCGTGTTCTTCAGGGAGGGTTGTTCAAGGGGGGGGGTATGTAACCCAAGGTTTCCTTATGCTCCCTAAACCCTAAACCCTAAACCCTAAACCCTAAACCCTAAACCCTAAACCCTAAACCCTAAACCCTAAACCCTACTCCCGAAGGTTCCCTCGTACCTACCCCCCTTAACCCCCCCCTCCCTTACGAGATCCCAGAACTAGAGAGCCGCAGTGCTGCATAGTTTGCCATTCTTGTCTTGTCTTGCTTCATGTTTAGGGTTAGGGTTTAGGGTTTAGGGTTTAGGGTTTAGGGTTTAGGGTTTAGGGTTTAGGGTTTAGGGTTTAGGGTTTAGGGTTTAGGGTTTAGGGTTTCTACCGTGTTGTATCATGCGCCTACATAGTATATTCTTGTGCATTAAAAAGGGGTTCCAATATAGTACCTTTAGGGCGCAAGTGTATACTACCTAGGTACCTCGATCCTTAGGGTAGGGTACTTGATATGATCAGAGTCATGGCTTGTAGGGTTGTTTGCCCCTAAACCCTAAACCCTAAACCCTAGACCCTAAACCCTAAACCCTAAACCACATGCCGAAGGAGCTGAAGGACAAGAACGCACCTTTCGGAGTGGACTTGCTGCTGCCGCAGGCCAGACCTCCACTTGGGAGTACACGGGCGTGGTGTGACCGAGATACCCTTTAACTAGGATGCCCAGTAGTACCCTTATTCCCTTTTTGGTAGGTTTAGGTTCCCTTATAAACCCCTTTAAGCAAAAAAGGGCACCCTTTTTAAGCCTAGGTTACTGGGCAACCTAGTTAAGAAGGGAAATGGACCCGATAGCGAAGATCATTCCAGGTATAGTGTGACCGAGATACCCTTCAGGGGCCCGATTCCGATAGCTAAGATCACTCCAGGTAAGGCTTGTATGGAATTCCTTAAGCCTCCAGGTACTTTGCAAGCGGACAGCATGCGGCCTCGTGTCCAGGGTCTTTCATTCGGCTGTTGCATGTTCGGTTCAGGAGCGCTCGGGCTTCAATAGTATACATGATGTCTACGTGATATGTATATATATATATATATTTCTTTAAATGTCTATTTGTTTATTTGTTTATATACATGTTTGGAAACATATCCATACATATATATATATATATATATATGTGCAATACATGGCGCATACGCGAGAAACGCCAAGTGATTCTAGGGTCTGTGACTAAAGCGCTGTAAGCTTTGCACAATGCCGAGGGGCATTGTCAGCTGCTGCTCCCTGCAAGGTTTGTTATAGCCCGGAAGCCGTGTCTATGTCTGGGATGTTCCCCCTTATGCTTACTAACAGTCCTTATAATTGAGGCTAGAATAGGTGGTACTATATTCCCTATTTAAGAGCTGCTAGTCCAAGGAAGCACATCCCAAGTCTATTCTTTTGCTGGCTAGGGAAGCGATGTTCTTTCATGTTCTCAGGCTCAGGACGTAGTTTAGGGGTCGGACTAATTACTACTTTTATTCTTTTAGGGTCCCTTTATAATTTTTCTACAATATCCCCCAAAACCCTGTTTTCATTCTTAAGGCCCCCTAGAGTATGCAGTCACAGCACGTCAGGTCGGAGGTGGGGCACGGAAGACCAACAAAGACTACACGGGAGGAACGCTGCCACAGTGGCCTGGATGCCTTATCCTGCGGAGTTCACAGGGTGGTTCGAGGGCAGGTTTTTGTTGGGCGCAGAGGTTCTTGGCTACAGAACCGAATGGGGAGCGGGCCGTTCAAGATTGTCATGCTGTCGGATATGACGCGGAAGCAAGGGCATTCAGTGGTTGACCTTAAATGAAAAACCGAGGTTATCGGATACCGGTTGCTCGCTGCTTTTTTTGCATGTACTCCTGCAGGCTTGAGTACCCTACTTACACTTGCAAAGGCAGGTGGGCCATAATTGTTGCGTCTATTCTCCTGATTAGGTGAATGTCGGTCACTCTGGGTCACTTACAGGTTTTGTTCATAACCCTAAACCCTAAACCCTTTCAGGGGCAAGCAGCCGAGTGAGCCCCCCTAAAAACTGTTTCGGCAGTTCCCTCATCAGGCTGGTCGATATCATCATTGAGGAGAAGGCTTGCTGACTGCTCAGGGTTGATGGTTAAGCGTGGGGATGTTCCCCCTTATACTACAGTTCTTTTAATAGGAGTTGTAGTACCCACTACTACAATGCCTATCAAGGACTGTTAGCATAGGGGGAAACATTCCAAGTTAAGGATTGAGAAGACATAGCCATGCGTGCTTGTAAGTCTTGGAGACAAATGAGCCAGGTCTATAGAGAGGATCCTATGTACGTATTGGTTGTTGTAGCCCAGCCCGGAAACCCCCCCCACCCCCCACCCATCGGGTGCCTTCACACGTGCAGGCCGCGCTGTTCATTTGCGCAGTGGGCGTGCCGCCACAATGGGCCGTCGACAAGTTCCACAACGCTGGCATCCCTGCAGCCTGGCAATGGCAAGACACAGCACCATATGAGTGTGCACTTCTTGAATCACCTTTCCCGTGATGGTGTCATGTGGGGGTTTCCGAAACTAAGGGAGCCTGAATATAAACCCCCAAATCGTAGGATCCGCTTGTAATATAGGACCGCAATAGGGTACCCCCTATTTCGGAAACCCCCAATGTCGAACGGCTTAGCACTGACTAGCTTTGCTTTGTGGCACCTGGCGAGTAGAATGAGAGATTCGTTTGCGGGGGTCTCGGATGGCTTGATGTTGGGGGCATTGAGAACGGCTGCCTTTGGTTTCTTGCAGGTCATGAACATGATCGGTGCCGTGAAGCACGTCGACAAGGCTGTGGAAGCAGGTGTCGTTGCTTGGCATGAACTTCGTAACTTGCACCCCAACACCCTACAAGGTTACTTGCCCTTTATCCCTTGTGCGTATCCCGGGGCCGCTTGCAGGATGTCAGGCGAAGCTTCTGGGGGCGGAAGCTTAGGGTGGTTCGAGTTTCTGCATCAAGGGGCCTCACATAGAGCAGAGCAAAAGTAGTGTTGGAACCCTAAACCCTACACCCTAAACCCTCAACCCCTAAACCCTCAACCCTAAACCCTGGGCCTGAGGGCCCGACGTCCCGTGCCGAGGACATCATCTGCGCTCAGGGTGGCGAGGGCGGTGGCCACACAGGCAAGCCTGAGTACTGTAGGGGCCTTAAGAATTAGAATAGGTCTTCTTGATATATATATTTTTTTTTTTGGGGGAGGGGGGTAATATAGTATAATAAATATAGAAAGGGACCATATGGGAATACTATTAGTAATTAATTTCCGCCCCCTACATTATGCCTTAAGGTTGCTGAGGGCAGCTCTTGACTTGATGACGATCAGCGAGTGCATCACGAACTACGTGCTCATGGCTAAGGGCACGGGCAGGGGGGGGGGGTGGTTTAGGGTTTAGGGTTTAGGGTTTATCGTTTATTGTTTATAGTTTAATGTTTACGGTTTAGGGTTTAGGGTTTAGGGTTTAGCATCCTTCTACAAAATCCTCTCTGAAGGTTTGCCAAGCCTGTCATGCAACTTACCGTACGAGCAGTATGTGTGTCGTGCATATACATGCGTTTGCTTATATGTATGTCTGTATGTCTGTATGTCTGTATTTTCTGCATGCATTCCTATTGCGTGTCCTTATAGTCACACGTGGAGGTGACACCGCCACAGCCATCCTGCTGCCAAAAGTGGTCGATGCTGTCCGGGGAAAGAAGTCGCCACTCACCGGAGGGCCCATCCAAGTAGCTCCTTGGCTCTAGATGGGCGCCACCTTGGGTGCAAAACACCCTAAACCCTAAACCCTAAACCCTAAACCCTAAACCCTAAACCCTAAACCCTGCAGGGCGAAAAGTTGGGACGTTATCGTCCAGCCCTCTGTCCTTATCCTCAAGAGTCTCAAGTGGATGGCTTCGGGATGTTGGCATAGTGTTCGTTTTGGGGCTCCCAAGCCACAGGTCCCAATACCCGTTTTGTGGTTTCGGGGTTGCCCAAACACCTAAACCCTAAACCCGAAACCCTAAACCCGAAACCCTAAACCCTAAACCTGTAATTTGGGCTCTGGTTTTTTGGGGTACCCCAAGACCAGAAATGTAGGGTACGTAGACTCTAGTATAACTAGACCTACAGGCAGACAACGTGCTAGGCAATGTGCACTTCGCATGGATCTGTCATGTTGAGGCCGACGTCCTGCACTCACCGTTCCCCCCGAAAAAAAAACACAACGAACTGCAATGATAAACTGCGAGTCAGTTCTCAATGCTAACCGATATCGGGATCTGATCCATCCTGCCGTTCTCGGACGGGTAGTTAGGGACAATTTGCCGCGGGCTTCTGTCACGGGACTCTCCGCGGAATTCTGTGGTTTGGCGCCTCCAGGGATCTTGGCGGGACTCTTGCAGGATTCTGGGAGTTCATTGGGAGGGTTTAGGGTTTCTAAGGTTTAGGGTTTAGGGTTTAGGGTTTAGGGTTTAGGGTTTAGGGTTTAGGGTTTAGGGTTTAGCCCTTGCCAAAGCCCAGTGACATGAGGTGGCTGCAGGCGGCATCTACGACGGGCGCGGGCTCGCCTCCGCGCTGGCCATGGGCTGCACCGGCGTCTGGGTGGGCACCCGCTTCTGGGCATGGAAGATAGGTTTAGGGTTTAGGGTTTAGAAGGGCGCTTCTGGGCATGGAAGATGGAGTACAGTAAAAACGCTGTATAAGAAAACGGTTTTCCGGCGATAGGGTACCCTAAGTTTCTTAGTTTCCGTTACCCATGTACCCGGGGGGGGTTTGAGCCTAGGGTAGGCTTGGTTTCTAAACTAATTTCTCAAGGGAGTACGCTATACCACTAGACCAAACCCATGTTCCCGGAATGGCGGTGGCAAGGGTTCCCGAATGTGACTCCCGCCGCGTTTTGGGGTAGGGTCAGGCCAGAGGCGCGGGGGAGTCACGTTTTAGAGCTTTGCAGGGCTGAAAACCTCTAGAATGTGACTCCCGCCACGTTTTGGGGTCGGGTCAGGCCAGAGGCGCGGGGGAGTCGCGTTTTAGAGCTTTTCAGGGCTGAAAGCCTCTAGAATGTGACTCCCGCCGCGTTTTTGGGGTAGGGTCAGGCCAGAGGCGCGGGGGAGTCACGTTTTAGAGCTTTTCAGGGCTGAAAACCTCTAGAATGTGACTCCCGCCGCGTTTTGGGGTAGGGTCAGGCCAGAGGCGCGGGGGAGTCACGTTTTGGAGCTTTTTAGGGTTGAAAACCTCTAGAGCTAGAATGTGACTCCCGCGCGTTTTTGGGGTAGACCCGGAGAGTGTTGGGGGCAGGATTTTTTAGAAACTGACCCCAAACACACTAGGGTACCGTAAGTTTCTTAGCGAGAAGGCAACCGCAAATCGACCAATATTCCCGGGTCTAGGGGCTCAGTTTCTTAAACAGTGGTTTCTTATACAGTGGTTTTACTGTGCCTATTTGGGGGCTTATAATATTGCAAAGAACTGAAGCATTTAGGGCTATCTAAGGGGTTCCCCCCCCCCCTCCTCCAGTTTTTTGGAAATGTCCAGGTAGCTAAGAGCAGCCAAAATCTAAGGCTCTGGGGAGCTGGAGCCCCCAGAAACTCCAAGCTTCCCAGAGTCTAGGGCGAGAAAACCTTAAACCCTGGACCCTAAAACCCAAACCCTGAACCCTAAACCCTAAACCCTGAACCCTGAACCCTAAACCCTAAACCCTAAACCCTATAAACCCTAAACCCTAAACCCTGAACCCGAGCTTCCCTCCCCCCCCTGCCACAAAATATCATCAAGAGAGCGGAGGCTTCATTTGCTCCGATGAAGCCGGCGCGGGCCCCTTCCACAAGCAGCGCATCATGGATGCCGGCTTTAGCGATCCTTGGCTTGGGGTTTAGGGTTTAGGGTTAAGGGTTGAGGGTTTTGGGTTTAGGGTTTAGGGTTTAGGGATAGGGCTTACCTAGAGTTTCCCTCAGCCCTGAAACCTGTGTGGTAAACAGGCAACTACACCTTATAGTGCGCATCCCTTTTTCCAGGGTATAGAGACTACTCTAGGCAGAGTCGTGGCCAACAGACTTAATGAACTAGAGCTTGGGTTTCGGGTTTTCTTGTGGCTTCGCGGCTTTGAGGATTCTCTAGAGTTCGGGCTTGGGATTTTGGGGTTTACTGCGGGGTTTTGCGGCTTCAGGGTTTTTAAGGTTGAGCGTTCTTTGTGTTTCGTTTAAGAGTGTTATTGTCTTGGTTTTGAGGTTAGGGTTGGTAGCCAATGAGCGGAAGCCTGAACCTAAACTCCAGAAAAACCTAAACCCCAGAACCCTAAACCTCAAAACCCTTAACCCCAAACCCCAAACCCTAAGCCGTTTGCCTAAACCCTAAACCCTAAACCCTGAACCCTCAGCCCTTTTAGGGCCAGAAGGGGGTGAGACGCAGGGAAGTAGGCGGGAAGTGGGAAAATCAGCCCCAAGGGCCAAGCAGCGACAGATCCTCAAAAGCTTGTAATTAGGGCCTAGGGTTTGGGGTTTGGGGTTTAGGGTTTAGGGTTCAGGGTTCGGGTTTGGGGTTTAGGGTTTAGGGTAACCCAAGAATCCAGCTGCTCCTCAGGGCCTAGGGAGAAGGATGGTCTAGGGCGCGGGTGAATTGCACTACTTCCCTTTGCAGGGGTGCAGCGGTCGCTTAGGGGTTTTATGGTGAACTCCTCTTAAACCCCAAACCCTAAACCCTAAACCCTCCATGGCACCAAGGACACCCTGCGAACCACGATCTACACTGGCCGACCCATGCGAAACTTGCCACAAAGTCGACCCGCCAGCTGTCCTCACATGGGTGTTTCCGAAACTCGGGGTACCTCAGTGGAGTCCTTGTTATCAGGGAATCTTACTATTTAGGGGTTTATATTAGGGGTCCGCTATGGTCCTTGTTATAAGGAAATCTTAGTATCTAGGGGGTCTATGTTAGGGGTCCGCTATTTTCGGAACCTGGAAGTCTTTTAGCCCTAAAGCGCTCAAGCCCGGCTGAGCCCTAAAGCCCTCAGCCCTTTACCCTACACCACACACCCCGAAGGGCCATAGAACCCTAAACCCCGAATCCTAAAGCCCAAAACCCTAGAACCCTGTACTCCGAAAGTAGCCCTCAGACCCGAAACCCTACACCCTGACACCCTACAACCCTACTCAAACACCCTGAGACCCTAAATCCCATACCGTACCCTGAGACCCTAAACCCTATAAACCCCATAAGCTAAAACCCTAAGCCCGTAAAACCCTCAACGCCTTAATCCCTAAAACCCTGAAATCCTAAGACGCTTAGACACTTTCAAACACATTAATTTCTAAAACCCTACATTCCTGAAACTCTAAGCTCTTAAACCCTAAAGCCCCAAAACCTACAAGCCTCAACCCCAAAACTCAGAAATTCCTAAAGCCCTCAACGCTGAAGCCCTAAAATCCTACAGTCCTAAGAGCCTGAAGCCTTAACATCTTGAAGTCCCTAGAGCCCTCAAATCTAAAACCCTACTTGCAGGTTCATATAATTTTGGTAACTATACTCATAGCCCTATGTAGGGTAGTTCGAACCTTACTTAAAAGTACCCATAAACCTCTAAATCCCCTAAATCCAAAACCTAAACCCTGTACCCAAAGGTAGGCAAAAGCCGGAACCCTCAACTCCTATGCACCAAGCCTTGAGTTCAGGCGCGCTCAAGACCCCTATTCCCCTATTCTTTTTTTTTTTTTTTGGGGGGGGGGGGGGTAGCTTCCCTTCATGAGCCCCTTTAAATCCCAAAAAGGGCACCCGTATAACCCTACTTACTAAGTCCCATGATCCTCCAGGTATTTACGAAGTCCCATGATCCTCCAGGTACCCTAAACCCTAAACCCTAAACCCTAAACCCTAAACCCTAAACCCTAAACCCTAAACCCTAAACCCTAAACCCTAAACCCTAAACCCTAAACCCTAAACCCTAAACCGGCGGGGAACATCCCAAGACCGCCACGCCTTGAGCTCAGGCGTGCTCAAGACCCCGTATGTCCAGGACTGGGAGCAGAACCGCACCAAGGAGATGCAGGAACTCCAGGCCTCCTGGGGGCCATTGGAGTTTAGGGTTTAGGGTTTAGGGTTTAGGGTTTAGGGGTTTAGGGGTTTAGGGGTTTAGGGGTTTAGGGGTTTAGGGGTTTAGGGGTTTAGGGGTTTAGGGGTTTAGGGGTTTAGGGTTTAGGGGTTTTAGGGTTTAGGGTGTTTAGTTTCGGGTTTAGGGTTTAGGTTGTTTTAGGGTTTAGGGTTTAGGGTTCAGGGTTTAGGGTTTAGGGTTTAGGGTTCAGGGTTTAGGGTTTAGGGTTCAGGGTTTAGGGTTCAGGGTTTAGGCTTCAGGGTTTAGGGTTTAGGGCTAGGGTTTGGGGGTTGGGTTTAAGGGGGCTTCGGCGGTTTAGGCGGTTTAGGAGGTTTAGGCGGTTTAGCAGGTTAGCGTCTTTGATTTTGATGTTGGGGGGCGGGCCGGGGGCGTTAGGAGGTTTTGGTTGTGTCGTTTATAATCTAGGTTTAGGCTACGCGTATTTTCAAGTATGTTCTGGTGGGTTCTTGAATTAAGCTAGAGGAACTCAATTTCCCTTTTTTTCGGGGGGAGGCGGGGGGGGGGGGGGGGGTGTTTCTGCTTGTTCTGGCGGGGCCGTGGCTTGGGATTAGGAGGTAGAGATCGGTGTTGAGCAGGATTTTGGGTTTCGAGCCCAGGGGTTTCAATTGTTGGGAAGTTCAGGGTTTAGGGTCGGACCTTCGGGAACCATTAAACCCCAAACTTCAAACCGTAAACCCTAAACCCTGAGAAGGGGCAAGGCGTATACCACAAGCGCAGTAAGGGGCTGGTCTACCCGAGAGTTTCAGAAGTAGGGTTTAAGGTTTAGGGTTTAGGGCTAACTTAGGGTTTAGGGTATTAAAGATGGAGGCCTGAAACCTATAATCCCCTAGCAAAGCCCTTGGCATGCTTGATTATGGTATTACGGCCGGGGGATGTCACGGGGCCAGAACGCCACAGCCCTACACCTGTACTCCCTCAACAGGCCCTTCGTAGAGGGTTGGTTCAGGGGCTGCAAAGGGCCTAAGCCCGAAACTCTTACCCCTGTTTTGCCTGAAACAAGGGCCAGGATTCAACCACCCTAAACCCTAAACCCTAAACCCTAAACCCTAAACCCTAAACCCTTAACCCTTAACCCTTAAGCCTAAACCCTAAACCCTAAACCCTAAACCCTAAACCCTAAACCCTAAACCCTAAACCCTAAACCCTAAACCCTAAACCCTAAACCCTAAACCCTAAACCCTAAACCCTAAACCCTAACCTTAAACCCCAGTGGACTCTGGGGCTGGGACCGAGGGCGCTTTTTGATCCTTGTGTTTTTTTTGGGGTTTAGGGTTTAGGGTTTAGGGTTTAGGGTTTAGGGTTTAGGGTTTAGGGTTTAGGGTTTAGGGTTTAGGGTTTAGGGTTTAGGGTTTAGGGTTCCCTTATAGCCCCCCTTAAAGCCAAAAAAGGGCACCCTTTTTCTTCGTAGGTTACTTCCGGGTCTAGTTAGTTTTCAGTGTAAGGTTCAGGGTATTTAGGGGTTTTAGGCGTCTAGGGGTTTAGGGTCTAGGCTTTAATAGCTTCAGAGTGCAGGGCCTTCGGGTTTAGAATTTCGGGGGGGGGGGGGGGGGGGGGGGGTTAGGAATGGAGGGCTGTGAAAGTCGCCTTAAACCCTAAACCCTAAACCCTAAACCCTAAACCCTAAACCCTAAACCCTAAACCCTAAACCCTAAACCCTAAACCCTAAACCTTGAGCGCAGGCCAAGGGCATCCCCCCTTGGGTCTCGGATGTCAAGAACCTCGGAGACCTCGAAGGCAAAGACGCCTCCGGAGTCCACAACTATGGCCCCTTTAGGATTTAGGGTGTGTGGGTTTAGGGTTTAGGGTTTAGGGTTTAGGGTTTCGGGTTTAAGGTTTAGGGTTTAGGGTTTGGGGGTTCGGGGTTTAGGGTTTAGGGTTCAGGGTTTAGGGATATAAAACCCAAGGGAATATTACCGAGGTGTTCCCTGGAACCCTAAACCCTATGCCCCAAACCCTAACGTTTAAGCCTTAACACACAAAGCCACAAATCTTGGGATGTTTCCCCTTAGACTAACAGTCCTTAATAGGGAACATAGTACTCCCATTATAATCCCTAGTAAGGACTCTTAGTACAAGGGGGAACACCCTAACCCAGAATCGCCGAACAAATGAGAGCCCCGAGAGCCGACATCCCTACACCTCCGAAGCTTCAACAAGCCCTTAGATCTCATAAACCTTAAACCAGTCTAACCTGCAGACCCTAGACCCCACCCCCCCCAACAAACAAGAAAATAGATAGATTTACAACACCAAGAATAATAATAGGAATCAGAATAAGAAATAAGAACATGCATAAGAAAGATTAAACAAGAAAAAATATCATAACAACAATAGTCCTATTAATAATAACAATGATGATGATTATTATAATGGAAATACTAATAACAAAAATAATGTCATAATAATAATAAGAAGAACATTAGTGAAATAAATAGTGGCAATACTGTAGCATAAGAAAGTTTTCTTGAGGGTAACTACCCTTAAGGCACCCAGAGAGCACCAAAGCCCTTGGTCAAGCAACCTACCTTAGAATCATAGCAAGGATCATAGTTGTGATTTCCCTAAACCCTAAACCCTAAAACCCTAAACCCTAAACCCTTTTTCCTCAGCGGGGATGGGGGCTCGGGGCACATCGGAACCCTCCAACTGAAACCCGCCCGCCACCCCTCTCACCCTCTGCTGGGGTAGGCGGGTGCAGCTGATCGCTCAGCGAGAGAGCGCTCAGCTCAGCGCGACCTGGGTAGGCTCAACCCTAAACCCTAAACCCTAAACCCTAAACCCCTTTGCTGAGCTGCGGAGCCTGCCAGGCAGACCCCTGAAGGGGTGCCGAGCAAGATTCGCCTAGCTCTGTCCCAGATCTATTGTACCCAAAACCCAAAGCCCAAAGCCCAAAACCCTAAACCCTAAACCCTAAACCCTACACCTAAACCCTCCAACGATCAGAGGTGGCGCCAGCGTGGGCCTCCTTCAGCAGGCTGAGGTCCTCACCCAGGAGGCAAGAGGGGCGGTTTCGGGTTTAAGGGTTTAGGGTCTTGGGGTTTAGGGCTTAGGGTTTTTGAAATTTGGGGTTGTGGGGTTTTTGTGTTTTTGGGCTTGTGGGGCTTTTGGGGTTTTGGGGTTTTGGTTGTTTGGGTTCTGGGGTTTGGGGGTTCTAGGGTTTTGGTGTTTTGGGGCATTGGGGTTTAGGGACTTAGTGTTGTGGCCGTGTGGGTTCATGGTCCGGAGGGGTGGGGATTTTGCTTTCGGAAGTTCAGCTTTGGGCTTTAGGAGGTCTTGGGGGGCGTTGGGGTCTTTGAGGGTGTTCCAGGCATTCGGTTTCAAGGGCCGGGTTCAGCCTGGAGGTTCATGGGTACAGTCATCAGTTGGGTGAGAAGTAAGGCAACTCTGATTGTTGAACCCCCCTTTTTGGGCACTCAACTAAGTGGCGCGGGCCCGAGGCTCTGCCAGATTCTGTAAGCCATGGCGCAAGTCCTACACCGTAAATCCTAAACCCTAAGCCCTAAACCATGCACTCATAACCCCTCTCAAGCCCTTCATCCGTTAGACCCTTAAGCCGTGGTTTGGGGGGCTTAGGGCAGAAGCCCTCCTGTTTCAGGTTTCGCTTGCCTGTCTCACGGCCCCCAAACCCTAAACCCTAAGCCCTAAACCCTAAACCCTAAACCCTAAACCGGGGGTTTGGAGTTTAGGGCTCAGGGCTTTCCAGGATCGGCTTTCAAAGCATAGCGGTCTGAAGCTGCACCATGCGAAGCGGGATGAGCTAAGGGCTCGAAAAAGTCACAGCGGGACCCTACACCCTAAACCCTAAACCCTAAACCCTAAACCCTAAACCCTAATTAAACCCTAAACCCTAAACCCTATAACCCTAAACCCTAAACCCTGAACCAGGGCTCTTTGGGTCCCAGAGATAAGGGGTCGGTGCCCACGCGGCTCAGGGCTCGTAAGTTCTCAGGCCCTAGCCCTAGCTGCCATGGAAACCCTAAACCCTAAACCCTAAACCCTAAACCCTACACCCTAAACCCTAAACCCTACACCCTAAACCCTAAACCCTAAACCCTAAACCCTCTTCTTGCCCATATCAGAAACGTGGTGATTCTGGATAAGCTGTGGCCTGAATCCTTAAACCCCTACAGAAGCAAGAAGCCCTAGAATCCTATGGGGATGACAGGGCTCATCTTGGTAGCCCTGTGGTGCCCTTTACCATCTTTTTGGTTATGGGTTCTTTTGTAAGACAACAAACCCCAACATGGGTGCCCTTATCATTATCATATGGTGGCTGGACTACCAAGTCGTCCAGCAGCCCCAAACCCTATAGGCCTTATATGGGGGTTGAAAAAAATAGGGGGGCCCCAATTTCGATCCCCAAATAGTAGATCCCTTTATAAAGGACCCCAATAAGTTACCCCGATTTTGGGAAGCCCCCCCAAAAAAGCCCAACAACAAACCGTAACAATACCCGTCCTCCATTCCTGGTTGCGCCTCACTTAAACCCTAAACCCTAAGCCCTAAACCCTAAACCCTGAACCCTAAACCCGAAACCCTAAACCTTAAACCCTAAACCACTTCCTAGCCTGCGCCGTGCAGGAGAAGAAGAATGGCTTGCAGTCCCCTTGCTGAAGTCAGCAGGAGAAGCCCCGAGGGTCCAGATATAGTCTTAAAATGGGATTGCCCAAATCCATGCTATATTGAGCTTCGCGTACCGACAGGGTTACTACCCTGAGCCTCTACTTGGGGTTCAGGAGGAGGTACTAGTAAACCACTAGTTGCTTAAGAACCCCCAAACAATACAAAGATGAAAATCCCTATCTTGCCCTTATAAGGAAGATTATTTGTTTTGAAATTTTTGGGGGCGTCTAAAGCAATTAGTAGTAAACTGCAAGTAAACACGACACACATGAAGATCCCGAAGGCCCATGAATCACGACATGGCGACCACTGCGGGGAAATAAGGAGGGGCCCCTATTCCCGTATATAAGGCCTTATACAAATAAATAAATAAATAGATAAACAAGTAAATATAAATATGCATACATATATATATATATATATATATATATATCCCCCTTCATAGGCTGTATAAAGAATAGAACTTAAGTAGCCCCTGTAGCCTTTAAGGTTCCTGACAGGGGTCCCTACCTAAACGCTAAACCCTAAACCCTAAACCCTAAACCCTAAACCCTAAACCCAAGGCTAAACCGGAGACAGATCCGTGAGCGCGGCGTCTTTCTGGCCGGTCAATGTGCCGGGGCCATCGAGGCCGGTTTGGGGTTTAGGGTTTAGGGTTTAGGGTTTAGGGTTTAGGGTTTAGGGTTTAGGGTTTAGGGTTTAGGGTTAGCGCCGTTACGCTGCGGGGGAGACCGGGGTAAAAGGACTGTAATTCTAGTGGGAGCCCCAAACAGGGTATATGCCAATTATATTCCTACCAAATTCTTGGGGTTCCCTGTTTGGGCTTCCCATTACAGTCACTTAGGGAGGGGTCAGCTATTCTCAGAGCTAAGGGACTCGGTCGGTTCTGGCCATCCTGCAACCAAAGTGCTGGGTCATGTCCTCCTAAACACTGGACTTAAACCTAAACCCTAAACCCTAAACCCTAAACCCTAAACCCTAAACCCTAAACCCTAAACCATTTCGGGGTTGAACGTCTGTGCTTCTCCAGGATGTAAAGCCCGCCGGGCAGATCGTGGAGGAGATGGTCCAGCAGGCCGCAGAGCAGTTGAAAGTAGCAACTTGGCTCCGGGCCACCTCCAGGCGCTAAACCCTAAACCCTAAACCCTAAACCCTAAACCCTAAACCCGAAACCCTAAACCCTAAACCCTAAACCCTACAGCAGGTTCATGAGGTCTGGTATTCAATACGCCACCTTGAGTGCCATTTGCACCTGTAAATCATCCGGAGATGTACTGTGCTTAGCTATTGGGTCCATGTCCATTCTTGAAGGGTGTGGAAATTTTATGTATGTATGTTTGTTTGTATGTTTGTTTGTTTGTATGTGTGTATGTGTGTACGTGTGTACGTACATATGTATGTCTGTATGTATGTACGTCTGTATGTATGTATGTCTGTATGTCTGTACGCATGTATGTATAGGTTGCACTAGTGATGCAGCAGTAGGCTTGGGAATGCAGAAACCTGAAGCTCGAAACCTTCAGCTGGAGACCCCCGCCACACCCAAACCCTAAACCCCATATCGGCCCCATACCGGCCCCCATAGTGGCCCCATGCCCTACCCGGGACTCTATTTTACCTCCAGTTTTATGGGTCACACCTATTCATTAAGGGTAGTTAGTAGTTGCCAATAAACTACTACACTGTAGGTAATTTGAGTCCCAGGTAGACCCTCAAACCAGCAACCCGAAACACCGACACCTGACACCTGAACCTGAGTCCCTTGAACCCACCCTCAGTCCCTCCCTCCTTCGCCTCGCCAAGCAGCAGACAAGGCAAGCACCTTCCTGGTGTCCAAGCTGTGAGTTGTGAGGGCTGTGAAGGGCATGGGCCCCTGTCGCCAACCCAGCGGCGGAAATTCGCAAAAGGGGTCCACGTGGTTGGTCGACCCATCGTCCTTTTTCAACTCAAAAAGCAAAACTCAGCGTTAACGGCAAAGGCCAAGCCTTTCCTGGCTTGTGCAGGTTTTCCGTGTCCCTTTGAAGGCAACACGGTTTCATCCTGCCAGGGCCCCTGCGATGCGAAGTCTTGACCATGCAGCGGCCCTGCAGGGTGGCGCATTGCTCCGGTCAACGCACGCGCGCGCACACAAGAAGCAAGGTAGAGACTTCTTGGGGAGCATCTTATTCTTGTTTTTATACAGCCAAGGCAAGATGGTTTGGTGTTTATACTGGTTTCTAAAGGAAAGTACGAGTCTCAGCTGCGCGTTGGCAAGCAAGTGGCAAGAGGCTACTTCTGGGGCAATGCCTCCATAGCACAGACGAGAGGTTTCTTGTGCAGGAAATCGGAAAGATGGCCGCGGAACTCAGCTGCGCTTGCTGACTCATTCCCTTCAGGTACCCTAAGGGTCCATGTACCTCATTATTATATACTTGGGCCTTAAAGTACTTCCTATATAGGGACTTTGGGGCCCAAGTATACAATAATGAGGTACAAGGACCCTTAGGGGTAGCTATCTGAAGGTTGAGGGGGGTTAAGGGTTTATGGAAGTTCTGGAGACAGAGGCAGCTAGACTCTTCCCCTCCATGGTTTGCTTCTAGCCTGCCTGCTACACTGGCAACTGCGCAGGACTTCATGATCCAAGGCCAGGGGCGTCTCGAAGGACAAGCTCGTTACTGTAAGGGTCGGAAGAATTACTACTAGCAATCACCTACTAACAAACACACTTGCAACGCTTTTGGCATGTTTTCATGGCTTCGGCACCACTACGTCACTTCACGCTTCTGCAGGATTAAACACGGGGGGGGTGCCGAAAACTTGGGTACCCTTTTTTCAGGGACTCTTAAAGGGGGTTCTATTCTATTTTGTTTAGGGTTTAGGGTACAAAAGGGGTACCCCCCCATTTGGGCAAACCCCCCACATCTATCTGCATGACTCTCTAAAGTCCAGCCGAGCTGGAGCATCGATTCGCGACGCCTTGGCAAACTTCACTACGACCCTCCTGTTGTTTACCTTTTAGCCTTTTGTTGGCTTACGGGTTCCCTCATTTAGGGTTTAGGGTTTAGGGTGTAGGGTGTAGGGTTTTGGGTTTAGGGTCTAGGGTCTAGGGTTTAGGGTTTAGTAACCAACCCCAAAAAAGGGTGCACTAAGTATTTCCGTTCTACCAAAGTCATTGCTGCAGAGTGCCATTTCGGGTTTGGGGTCTAGGGTTCAGGGGGCTGATCCTGAGGGTTTAGGACTTAGGGTTTAGGGTTTGGGGTTTGGGGTTTGGGGTTTGGGGTTGTCTTACCATGTTGGCCGGTCTTGTGGGCGTATGGCTTGGCTTGGGGCTTTACCTTTGGGACATTTTGGGACCGAATGGACCTTGGAAGGTTTATAGTCCGTACAGTAAGGTACTACCTTGCTGGGTACACCCTACCTACGAATTGCATAAAGAACCGCAAAAAAAATGAAAACATTCTTCCTCGTATTGGCAGTATAAGGATTTTGTGTTTTTTTTGGGGTTCTTAAGGAAATAGTAGCTACCGGTGCATCATGGCTTACAAACCCTAAACCCTGACAAACCCTAAACCCTAAACCCTAAACCCTAAACCCTAAACCCTAAGCCCTAAACCTTATGCTGCCTTACAAGGCGGCGACTTCACCAAGGGCGATGGCACCGGTGGCAAGTCCATCTACGGTGGCTCCCTCATCAGAGTTTGACTTCGGATGTACGTAGTTTTGTTTTCCAGGATGGGCTATAGGGAAGAACCCCTTAAAAAGGTGGGGATTGTGAGGCCTGATAGCCCATGCTGGTTGGCTTGTGGTAGATGTGTTTGAATTTTGTGGAGGTCTCCCCCGAACCCGACCCCGCCGATGAATGCGCCGCAAGACCCAGAAGATCAAACCCTAAACCCTAAACCCTAAACCCTAAACCCTAAACCCTAAACCCTAAACCCTAAACCCTAAACCCTAAACCCTAAACCCTAAACCCTAAACCTAGACCTTCAGTCCCCTGACCTGCAGCCCAACTTAGATCACCAGGTGAGAAGTTCGCAGACGAGAACTTCAAGCTGAAGCACAAGCGGCCAGGCGACGCCGTGTGTGGATAGGGGATGGGGCAGGGGGATGATGAGGGAATCCCCCCCCCCCCAACCCCCGCACCCCCCCTCCCGAACCCCCCCCCCCATCCCTCCCGGAAAGCTGATGGAAATAATGCCTAAACCCTAAACCCGAAACCCTAAACGGAAGGCTTGAAATGGAGAAGTGAAGTCCAAAAGTTTTTCAGCTGCGGTGCTTCTTGGTTTCTTACCGGCCCCCGAGCTCCCAAAACCCAAAACCCTTAAATTCTAGGACCCAGAGTAGGCCCGTATTCCCTTTTTTAAGGGTTTAGGTTGCCAGATAACGTTTGAATCCAAAAGGGGCACCCTTGTTTCTCTTGGGTTACTCCTGAGTCTAGAAGTAGACCCTCGAGTTCCAAACCCTGCACGCAGGCTCGGGTCTAGGGCTCAGAGATTTCAGGACTCGGGGTTCGGGGCTTAGGGGCTCAGGGTTTAGTGGGTACGGTTTAGGGTTTGGGGGCGGGGGGGGGGGTGGGGGGTTGGGGTTTGGGGCTTGGGGTTGAGGGTTTAGGGTTGAGGGTTTAGGGTTGAGGGTTGAGGGTTTAGGGTTGAGGGTTTAGCGAGCCAGGTCTCCTGTCCATGGCCAACGCCGGGAAGGCAGGGGCTTGTTGGTGCTGGATGGAGTTTCTAAGGTTATAGGGTTTGCATTTTCGGGCCAATGAGTGCAGGAGCGAAACCCTTTGCGGCGGGGACTTGCGGTAGACAGGCAGACAGGTAGAGTGAAAGCCAATGGCACACATGAGATTCTTCTGGCTCTCATTTGATGCGCTGTCTACAGGGAATGAAGTCGGGATAGATTCGTTTTTGCATCCATGATGGCCCCCTTGATCATGAAGGCTCGGGCATTCAGTTCAGCAGGGCGTGCACAGCAGCGCGGCAAGAGCAGTGGGTCGAGCGAGATCGTGGTGCGACTGCACAAGCTCAAGAGGCCCGCGAATAGCCAGATTGTGAAGCAACTGGTAGGTCCACACCTGCCTGAGTGGCGGAAGACTCCCAAGCTTCTCCGCCGGGTGCTGCAAGAGCTCAGGGTGCTACATCGAGAAGATGTAGTAGGCGCCATGTTTGCCGCCTTTAAGGACGGCAAGATTAAGCTTGGCTTGCCCGACTATACAACAGCAATCAGCACGTGCGCCAAGACCAAGCAGTGGCCCATGGCACTTCATCTCTTTCATGGCATGCCTAAGGCCAGGGTTACCCCCAATACCATCAGCTACGGTGCCACGATCAGCTCCTTTGATTCGGGAGTGCACTGGCACCTGGCTCTGCATTTGTTTGCCGCGATGTTGAACGCCGATCTTGCTGCTAATGTCATCATGTTCAATGCTGCCATTAGCACCTGCGGAAAGAGCGGGCAGTGGAAGCCGGCTGTGCTGTTGTTGAGCGACATGCAGAAAGCCAAGCTGGAACCGGATGTCATCAGCTACAGCGCGGCGATCAGCTCCTGTGAGAAGGGCCAGCAGTGGCAGCTGGCGCTGCATTTATTTCATCGCATGCTCAGCACGAAGGTGGATCCCGACGTTATTAGCTACAGCAGCGCCATCAGCTCCTGTCAGAAGGGCCAACAGTGGCCGTTGGCCTGGCGCCTGTTCCACAGCATGCGCAAGGCCAAGGTTCGCCCCAATGTAATTAGCTACTTGGTGGCCCAGTGGTACCCTTTACCCTTTTTTTTATAGTTGTAGGTTCCCTTATAGAGTAACCAACCCCAAAAAGGGTGCCCTTGTTAAGATGAGGTTACTGGGCTACCAAGGCTACAGCGCCACGATCAGTTCCTGCGAGAAGGGCGGTCAGTGGCAGTTGGCTCTGCATCTTTTCAACGACATGCCCCGTGGTAGCCCAGTGGTACAGTACCCTTTACCTTTTTTATTTTGGTTATGGGTTCCCTTATAAAATAGCCAACCCAAAAACAAAGGGTGCCCTTATTATAATATGGTTACTGGGCTACCAAGGCCCAAATCACATCTTACGCCTGACGTCATTGTCTACAATGCCACTAGGCCGGACCAAGGAAAAGTTGATCTTTCCCCTTAATTTGGTTTTCCCGAAGCAGTGTGTAAATACAGAAGGGTGCCAACGTCAATATCTATCTATCTATCTATCTATCTATCTATCTGTCTATCATACGTATATATATATATATATGTCATATATAGATGTACATATGTATATATGCATGTATGTGTATATACATATATGTATATAATACTAACTATAATCAAGGGACTTATAACCTATGATAGGCTCCTTATAACCCAATTTAGGGCTCCTATACGTCTACTTATAACTAGGGGGCCCCTCCTTGTAGTTTTTACAAAAAAGGTCCCGGTGTGTTTTGGGCGATTTGGGAGTACCTTCTTTGAGAAGTAGGACCCGGAGCCCTTTTTTGTTTTTCAGGGTTTGGGGTTCCCATATAATCCCCTTAAAGCAAAAAAGGGCACCCTGTTTTTTTTTTTTCCTAGGTTACTCCTGGGTCTAGAGAATGTTTATTACCCTAAACCCTAAACCCCAAACCCTAAACCCTAGACCTTTCAGAGGTGTTTCTGGGCCCCAGCCTAGGCCACCATCAGCGCCTGTGAGAAGGGAGGGCCCTGGCAGCTGGCGGTACACCTCCTCGACCGGCTGCCTCAGGCCCAGCTTACTGCCGCACCCTGGTTTGCTACTATTTGCTTAAGAACTAAACCCTAAACCCTAAACCCGAAACCCCAATTTTACCCGTGAGGGAAGCATATTTTCATTTTTTTGGCGGGGGTTCTTAAGCAATTGGTAGGTTTGGTGACTGTAGGATGTATAAGGTCTTCGGGGCTTCGGGGCTTGGGTTTACTACAGCCCTTGGTTGCATTTTAATGTTTATATACTAGTTTTTTGTTGTGTTTTAAATGTTTTTTCTTTGGGTGGGGGGTTGTGAGTTTGAAACGTAATAAGATGCCCCCCCCCCCCCCCCCAAAAAAAAAAAAAAAAACAGAGCAACTACAATGAAAGATCCAGGGAGGCTCGACCGGAGAGGCCCCCATGACCCCTGCGGCAGGGAAGCATGCCGAATCTCTAAGGCACCGTTCCATTCTTAAATGGTGCAAGGTTGAGGGATTAAGAGGGTGAAGGGGATGGTGCAAGGTTGAGGGATTAAGAGGGTGAGGGGGTTAACTAGGGCTTCAGGGCCTCAAGCACGGTCTCAATCCGTGAGCCTCCTACTTGGGTTCAGGGTTGGGATGTTCCCCCTTATACTAGCAGTCCTCCCTATTAGAATCCCCATTAAGGACCGTTAGTGTAAGGGGGAACATCCCAAGTTCAGGGTTTAGGCTTACATTCTTGGGGGGGGGGGGGGTTTAGGAACGGAGGTTCATGAGTAGTTGAGAGCTGGGGTTCCAAGTAGCCGAACTCCAACAGGGACATCTGGTTCCATCTGCTTCCAGCCTTTCTCCGGTGAGTCCTCGAACACTATTTTCTTATGACAGAACTCAAGCTGTAACAGCAAGAACACTGTTTGGTTTACTTTAATCGCCCCTTCCTATGGCAGCTTAAGTTCCTTCACAAGAACCTACGAATTGCTTAAGAACCCACCAAAAAATATGATATTCTTCCTTATAAGGGGTAAGATAGGGATTCCTTTTTTTTGGGCGGGGGGGGGGGGGGGGGGGGGGGGGGGGGGGGGGGGGGGGGGGGGGGGGGGGGGGGGGTTCTTAAGCAAATGGTAAGATTAGTACGAATGACCCAAGGATTGCATCAGCTACAATGCCACCATCAGCTCCTGTGAGAAGGGCTCGCAGTGGCAGGCTGGTGTTCTGGGTTTTGGTAGGGTTTAGGGTTTAGGGTTTAGGTTTTGGTGTTTAGGGTGTTCTGGGTTTTGGAGTACAATACTTCAATGCCTTTTTGGTTGTGGGTTCCTATTATAGCTACTTGTACCTAAAAAGTATATACTGTTTTCCAGGGTCTACTCCAAAGTAGGGTGTTGGCCAAGTTTGCGAAACCACAGTTGTTTTTAAATAAGAGTTGGACTCTGATGTTTTCGGGTTCAGGGTTTAGGGCCAGTTTAGGGTTCAGGGTTTAGGGTTTAGGGTTTAGGGTTTAGGGTTTAGGGTTTAGGGTTTCAAGCGGATTGGGGCTGGTGAGTGCGAAGTCGGAAATTGGGTTCTCCAGGGCGTAGGGTTGACAGAGAACTATAGCCGAACCCAGCGCAAAGCCCAACCCTGACCCTGAACCCTACAACCCTATACCCTATAAAAACCCTAAACCCTAAACCCTAACCCTAAAAACCTAAGAAGGCCTGCAAAGTGGCCTTCCAGGAGCCTACGATTAGGTCTGTAGGGTTTAGGGTCTGTGCGGTCTGTAGGGTTTCGTGTTTTATACCGCAGTAAACGTAAATGACATTCCCTCCTCCATGTTAGCCCACCTGGCATATAAAAAAAGCGTGCCCGCAAGCTTGCACAGGTCGCAGCACAACTCTTTCAGGAGATGCCGTTTGCAAAGTTGGCCCACGATCGCATCAGCTACAACGCCGTCATCAGCTCCTGTGGAAAGGGCCAGAAGCTGGCTAGCCCAGTGGTACCCTTTTCCATTTTTTTAGTTTAAGGTCCCCTTAGAAATTAACCAACCAAAAAAGGGTGCCTGATAAATAATATGGCTACTGGGGTACCAAGGCAGTGGCAGCTGGCACTGCGTCTCCTCGGCGGAATGGACGAAGCCAAGGTCCATCGCCATGAACTTCCTTAGGGTGTCGGGTACACGGGCTCAGGGCACAATGAACGGCAAAGCGGTAAGAAGCACTCAGAAAGAAAACCACCGTGCTCCTGCGTAGGACCCCAACACATAGCATATTTGCGTTTAACCCTCCGAAGCCCTAAACGCTATAGGGTCGCCATATGCCTTTCAAAAACAATGTACACCATAGCTCAGGTACGTTTCTGTATTTAGGAGTGTACACAAATATGGTTACAAGTATAGTTACCATACGGACATCCCTACTTATAACTAGCCATGAACCTCCCCAAGTGCCCGAAACCCTGAACCTTGAACCCTAAACCCTAAACCCTAAAGAGGAAGATGCCTCTGACAGTCAGCCTCAAAGGTGAACCCTGACGTGATCAGCTACACTGCCAGCATCAGCGGCTGTCAGAAGGCTGGGTATTAGAGTTGAAGGTTAGTTAATTGCATACAAATACAAATACATAATAAATAAATAAATAATATATATACATATAGAGAGAGATATGATATTATATATGTATAAAATTACATATACATGAATATATATATATATATACAATTATACAGTTCTTGTAGTTTATATACCCTGTAACTATGTAACCCTGACATGGACAATAGGGTTGGGGATTGGGGCGTGATGTCGAAGTCTAGATGATCGGCTTCTGTAAACCTTCAACCTTGTCCGCCTGCTTTTTCCCCCCTCTCCCCGGCCTCTTCCCCCCACGCTAGGGTTGAGGGTTTAGGGTTTAGGGTTTAGGGTTTAGGGTTTAGGGTTTAGGGTTTAGGGTTTAGGGTTTAGGGCTCCACCTCCAACCCCTTGAGGCCGAGCAGTGGAAGATGGCCCTGCTCCTCTTCAACGCCATGCACGAAGACCGAGTTGCCCAGCATGCTGCCAGCTACAATGCTGTGCTGGAAGGTGCCTTCGCCCTACCATAGGTTTAGGGTTTAGGGTTTAGGGTTTAGGGTTTAGGGTTTAGGGTTTAGGGTTTAGGGTTTAGGGTTTAGGGTTTAGGGTTTAGGGTTTAGGGTTTAGGGTTTAGGGTTTAGGGTTTAGGAAACGGTCGGGCTAATTACTATGTTGCAGAACAAACTGCCCCAGTGACCGGGGCGATTTGCCGAGCCAGGAGGCGAGCATCATGAGCATGAGCTGGGTACTGTTCTGGCCACGCGGCCCCCTAATCACCGGATGCTTGCAAAACAAACTGCCCCAGTGATTGGGGCGATTTGACCGGCCAGGAGGCGAGCATCATGAGCATCAGCTGCGCTACTGTTCTGGCCACACGGCCCCCTAAGCACCGGATGCTTGCAAAACAAACTGCCCCAGTGATTGGGGCGATTTGACCGGCCAGGAGGCGAGCATCATGAGCATCAGCTGCTTACTGTTCTGGCCACACGGCCCCCTAAGCCCCGGACGATTGCAAAACAAACTGCCCCAGTGATTGGGGCGATTTGACCAGCCAGGAGGCGAGCATCATGAGCATCAGCTGGGTACTGTTCTGGCCATACGGCCCCCTAAGCCCCGGACGCTTGAGCATGAATTGAGTATCGTTCTCCGGATGCTTGCACAACAAAGTGCCCCAGCAGGATTGCGCGATTTGACGAGCCAGAGTCAGTGTCTCAGAATTACTTCAGGGGCCAGTTCTGTCCACAAGTCACAACATATTAAAACAACCCCCAAACCCCTTTTCGACTTCTTCAGGCCTCTCTATTGCACCCTTCAAGCATTCTTATGCTTACGGGGTTGGGGGGGGTGGGGGAAGATCTGTACCTCCGCTCCCTTTAGAACCAGTATTGCTTCATGGGTGGTTTAGGTCTTACAGGGTTTGGGATTCAGAGTGGGGGGAGCCCATGTTCAGGGTTTGGGGGCACCCTAAACCCTAAACCCTAAACCCTAAACCCTAAACCCCCACTATTCCAGAATAGCCAGCACCAGGTGCCTGCAACAGCGCTCAGGGCTACGACCGATACCTGCGCACTGGGAAGCTGTGAATGTTCAGTCCAGCTTTTTGGTGTCTTAGGGTGCTGGGCTTTGTTGTGCTTTGAAATGTCTGATTTAATTCATTGGTTCCACTTGCGTATTCTGAAGGGTATGTAGAGAAAGATGTTCAGGTTGTGGACTCAAGTTAAACCTAAGATTCAAGAGCGCATGCGGTTGTTGCAATGTATATAGGCGGTATTCTGTTTCAAGATCCACAAGTATGAATTTCTCTGCATTATAGAGCTCTACGTTATTCAGTGTTATTTGTCCGACTACATACCATATAAGTACATGGACCTCAGGGAAAAGCCCACCGGAAGCTCCAATGCCAAGTCCCAAGGAGTTCGTGCTTGCTCGGCAGCTTATCCAGAAAGGGCCCTGGATTTCTGGACCTTAATGGGTATAATATGGAGACATACCTAAGTAGCCCCTAAATAACCCCCAAATAATTAGGTTCCTTAGAAGGGTCCCTCCTATAGTCCCTTGAGGACCTGCATGACGTGTCGGCCGCTGACAGCTGGATGGCCGTAAAGTTTTGGGTCTCTGAAGTGCTGGCGCCGCAGCGACTTGGGTGTTACACCTAATATATAGCTTCCTGTAGGATTTCAGGGACCTAACTAAGGCTGTCCCACAAGCTTTGAAGTAACCTGATCCTGTGAGTAGAGAAATCAGGGTGGCAAAAATCTAGGACCTTTGGAGTTGGGTGGGTAAAGCTTTCAACTATTTGTTCGGTCTTGGCCATGCGCCCGGCGATGCCATTTGCAAGAACAGCTCTGGTTTGGTTTTGCGTGCAAATGAATGTAGCTCTGTGACATCACTCCTCCTCTACCACAACCATAGCGAAACTTTAGGGCCCCCGTGGTAAGATTTCAATATGAAAGAACCCCCCCCCCCCCCACACACAAACTGGGACGATCTGTTGAGGCTCACCCGCAAGGAGCACATCATCATCGCGGGCTGGTGCGCATCAAGACCTATTTGTCAGGCGTCTGTCTGGCACATCCTGAAGAGCTGCGGCATTCTCCATGGTGGTTGCTGAGACCCTATTTTGGTAGGCCTCAGGATCCATATACCTACATGTGATATACTTGGGCCTTGATTAAAAGGGAGTCCTACACAGGTGCATGGACGCTCATACGCTTTCCACTGGGTCCGCTAAAGAGGAAAACCTGTGCCCAGAACCCCTCCAGAGCCTCAAAACACCAGAAACTTGGGATTCCCCCTTGTTCTAACAGTCCTCAATAGGGATTCTTGTACCCCCCCCCCCCCCATCAGAATGCCTACTAAGGACTGTTAGTATACGGGGAACGTCCCAACCAGAAACCCAAAGAGGAAGAAAGAGAGGTTCAGGGCTCCCCCAGTGTCCGCAATGTGGGGAATGTTGGGGTTAAACCATGCCAGAGGTGGGCTATCAGGCCTTCTAATCCCCAGAATCAACCTTATAAAGGGCCCTTTTTAAGGTGGATATCGGGTATACTCGCCCGTCCTGGTCGTGGATGGTTTCGGGCCTGGGGGATGTAGGGCTTAAGGACTGGGACGGTTGAAGGGTTTGAGGGTAGATAGGGCATCCTTTGTTTTCTGCTTTTGGTGGCGGGGGGTTCCCTTGCAAAAATAGCCAACTCCCCAAAAGGTACCCTTCTCATAATTCTACTATGTGCTTAAGAACCCCAGAAAATAGAAAATTATTATCCCTTTATTGCCCTTATAAAAAGGAGTGTTCTTATGGGGGGGGGTTCTTAAGCAATTCGTATTGGTTGCTGGGCTACCAAGTTTTTTTTTTTTTTTTTGTGGGGGGGGGGGGTGGAAGTTGGATTCTAGGAGCGCCATGCGGAACGCACGAAAGGCTCGGGAGAAGAGAGACCATGATCTTCAAAACAGGGGTAAGCCTAAACCACTCAGTTCAGGGTTTAGGGGGTCTAGAGGATTCACACCCTAAACCCTAAACCCTAAACCCTAAACCCTAAACCCTAAACCTTAAACCCTAAACCCTAAGCAGCCCAGGTTCAGACCACGGATCGCTTCATGCTGCGATAGGAACTGGAGATGCAAGACCTTTCGGCCTTCCGCAGAAGAAACAAGTAGAGCGCGCGCACGCCGGGGCGGGGGGTGGGGCGGGGGAGGAGGGGGGCGGTCGACTTCTAAGTTGGGCTTGACGGTGCTTGAATCATAGTACTTTGAACCTACTTCAGTTTTCTATGTACTTAGCCTGGTCCCAGGTTCCCCTCTGGGTTCCCCCTAAAGACTTTGGGGGGGGAGGGGGGAAGACCCCGATCGCCACAACCAAGTCCAAGCAGGCCTTGAAGCGAGTCCCACTCTACCGAAACCTTGGGTAACCTACAAACCCTAAACCCTAAACCCCTGAAAGAATGGAGAGAGGGACCCAATCATTGAGGTGCAGTGGCCGGCTACTCTAGGAATCCCTAGAAGTACTTGTCATTTTGTCTTGGATGGGCATCCGCAAGCGAGGGGGTGGTAATCTTCTGCTCATGAATATTTTCAGGTGCAACCTTAGCCGACCAGTGCGAGCCACAAACCACAAACCCCCGAGTCTCGAAACGCCCTTTTCGAACTGGGCCTCGGGGTTAGGGTTTCGGGTTTCATTGGGGCTTAGTTAGAGTATAGGGGATTCCGGACTCGCAGCAGGCCCTGCAAATCCAGTAAGCCTTAGAAGCCAAAAGAGGCGCGAAGCGCTAAGCCCTCCAAACCCCCAAACAAGGCTTCAAACGGATCTAAAGCCTCAAGCTTACAAAGCCCAAACCCCAAACCCTAAACCTTGAACCACAGTCATCCACCCAGCCCCACGAACATCAAAGCTCGAGTCCTCGACCGTAATCGTTTAAATCCCCCCCCCTCAACCCGAAGCCCCTAATCCTAAGAGCCTCCATCCAGAGCCCTTAAGCCTTGAAACCTCAACACTTGACCCACACACACACACACATATATATATATATATATATATATACATACATTCATGTAAGCCCTATAGTTTTTGAACCCTAAGCCCTAAGCCCCAAGCCCCCTTAAGCCCTAATCCCAATGCCTAAACCCCACGCCAGAAACACCTCTGGGTTTAGGGCCTATAGGGCCTCGACATTTCCAGAGCTAGCTGCCCCCTTTTCAAGGCTTACGCCCCAGGCATTAGGTCTACTTGGAGGTTCATGGTACCTATTCACCAATAATCAGTGTACTTATAGCTGCACTTATAACCATACTAGGGCACTTAAGGGGCTTTTGAGTGGGTTGTGAGTACACTTATACTTGGTTAATAAGTACCATGAACCTCCAAGTAGGGTGTAGGGTTAGGGTTTAGGGTGTAGCACTCTAATTCTGTTGGCCGAAGCCCGGTCTAGGGTTCTTCCTTCCAGAGTATATTTCTATACCCGAAGCCCTAAACCCTCCAATCCTTAAAGAGAACCTTCTGGGTTGGGGTTTCGGTGGGTTTAGGGTCTAGGGTTTAGGGTTTAGGGTTTAGGGTTTAGGGTTTAGGGTTTAGGGTTTCGGTCTCTGGGGCCCTGGTCAGGACACCAATGGCAGCCAGTTCTTCATCACCACCGTTACCACCCCACACTTGGACGGCCCGCAGCTGAGAGTCCCTGAGGAGGTTTCCCAAAGTTATCTTTCCTTGCGGCGGGGGGGGGGGGGGTGGGGGTGGGGGTGTAGGGTTTAGGGGATAGGTTTAGGGTTTAGGGAGGGGGGGCACGGTACAAGGGGGGGGGGGGGGGGTGGGGGGGCTATTGTAAGGCTTGCAGTAGCTCGGGCGCACGTACCTCGGAAATGCAGAGATCCTTCGCCGAATGTTGGCTCCAACATCGCTTCTTAAGGCCTTCGACCGTCTGAATCCTAGCTCCTGAACCGCGGGTTCCGCGTTTCCCCTTATACTAACAGTCCTTCGTAAGGAGTAGAATTGGGGGGTATTGTCAGGACTGCCAGTATGAGGTCCCTAAACCCTAAACCCTAAACCCTAAACCCTAAACCCTAAACCCTAAACCCTAAACCCTAAACCCTAAACCCTAAACCCTAAACCCTAAACCCTAAGTTTAGTGTTTCAGGTTTCGGGGTCAGACGGGAAGAGCAGGTTGCAAGCCTCAGGGTGCAGACTTGAACCACCGCGACCCCAAACCCTACACCTTTCCCAGCGAAACCTGAAATACCCTTTAAGAAGGGATATGATGGGCCCAAGAATGAAGGTCCTTTCCCTTTCTTGGGGGGTATCGAGGTTAATGTAGGGAAAACCCTCAAGCCCTTATGAACCCTAAACAGCAAAAGTAGCAAGAGTAATGTTTGCTGTGCATTTTGTAGTTGTTATTACTAGGCGTTCTCATTTAAACGCGCCCTTGTTACGTGCGAGACAAGCGACGCCCCGGAACCTTCCAATTTATAAACACCGTACAATGCCCTTCTAAACACCCTAACCCCTATAAAGCCATTCTAAACACTCTAACCCCAATAAAGCCCTTGTAAACACCCTAAACCCTAAAGCTCCCTTATAAACACCCTAAACCCTAAAAGGCCCTGATAAACACCCTAAACCCTAAAATCAAACCCTTCTACAGCACCCCGAATTTCTATACAGCCCTCATAAAGCACCTAAACCCTAAACCCTAAACCCTAAACCCTAAACCCTAAACCCTAAACCCTAAACCCTAAACCCTAAACCCTAAACCCCACAGGCCGCCACGTTGTTTTCGGGACCATCCTGGAGGGCATGAAGTTCCTAGGCGGGCCCTTGGGACATTTTACATTTTTCCCTTATTTAGGGTTTAGGGTTTAGGGTTTAGGATTTAGGGTTTAGGGTTTAGGGTTTAGGGTTTAGGGTTTGAGGGTTTTTAGGGTTTATTTAGGTTTAGGGTTTAGGGTTAGAGGGTTAGAGGGTTAGAGGGTTAGAGGGTTAGAGGGTTAGAGGGTTAGAGGGTTAGAGGGTTAGAGGGTTAGAGGGTTAGAGGGTTAGAGGGTTTAGGGCTTAGGATTAGAGGGTTTTTAGGGGTCATCCTAGGTTCGTGCGGGAGATCGA